GAATATTACAGCACATGTGTTCCAGCAGGAGCGGCGGGGGTGGGACGGAGGGGCTCGCCTGCCGGGGGAGCACGTTTCACACAGCTGGGGAGGGTCAGGGGTCGCCGGGGTGGTGGGGGGGGGTGGGGGTTGGCGACGCATCCCCCTATGTCCATCAGTGGGCGGCGAAGGTGGCCTTCTTCAAGCTAAAGTTGGACCAGTTGATGGAGAGACGCTGTCGAGTCTGTCTGGCCGAATCCAGGCAAAACCTGACGGGAGAGAGAAAGGGTTCTAGCAATGAGCTACACCGCTACACCCCCAAGATGAGCGTCAAGAAGTCCGCATCAACCGTCTCGCGAACGCCCTCCGCTGGTACCTTTTGAAGTACTCCACCTCCCTCTCGGTCTCGTCCATTTCCACGCTGTCGAGGTCGATGTCTTTGGGCAGGAACACGTCATCTGGGACATTAAGAAAGCAAATGAATACCCGGGGTCGTCACAGGACCGGTGCAGGCGGTGTTGTGAATGAACAGAATACATCAAAGATGGCAGCAGATAGTCGGGGGTGTACAAGAACGCTTTCATCTGCCCCGTTCACACTAGTCTAGGCGCAGCAGTATAGGATCCGTCTAAGGCCCCAACCCCTGGCCAATATGGCGGCGACTGGCTGGCGGGCTTCAGCCGCGAGAGGGAAGCGCTCACCTATGGAATTGCTGTTCTTATCGCCCTTCTTCTTCTTGTTCTTCTTGTTCTTTCCTTTGGGCTGTGGCGACTCTGCACTGGGGGGCTTCCCGTTCAGCTGGGGGGGCTCTGTGGGGGGGGCCGGCTCGGCCACAGCCACCACCTTCTCCTCCTTCACGTGGTTCAGCTGCTTCTTGCTGCTGGAGCTGTTCCTCCTCTCCTCCCTCTTAAGCTCTGAGGCGGCTTCCTCGGCGGGCTTCGATTTACCCTTGACCTCCAGCAGGGCGGCGTCGAAGGCCGGGGGGGTCACCTCCGGCACATTTCTGGGGCTTTCCGGTGACTTTTTCGTCAGCTCCGAAACAGGTACGGCCGGCGGATGCCTCAGCCGCGCCTTGCCGTTCTGTTCCCGCGGCGATGGAGCTGTGGCTTCCGACGGTTTCTCACGGTCGGGACCTGACTGGAGCGGGGTCAGGTCGCCCCCGTTCACCAGGTCCTCGGGGCCAGCTACCCGCTCTATCTGCCCATCCCGGGAGCCGGGCAGATGGACCATGTCACGGAGGAGGTGCTCCTTGCTGTTGCGGAAGCTCTCCAGGACCTTCTGGGCGGACTCTCTCAGGGGCTGTGGGCTCTGAGTGGCCGGGTCGGGCTTGGACCCCTCCTTGGCCCGCTCCTTCTTCTTCTTCTTGGCCGTGCGGAGGTGCTCTTGCAGGTGGAGCAGCTCACGCTTCAGGGCATCCTGCGCCCTCTGCCGCTGCTGCTCCTGCTCCTCCCTCTCTCGAGCCTCTGCCTCCACCCGCGCCTTCTCCTCCATCTGCAACGGGACACGGTCGCAGCAGAGCAAGCAGCTTAAACACCGGTCGCCAATCTCAGAACCCTCTGCCATTTTAACATCAGCGCATTAGATCTAGGCAAACTTTAGGGGGGAATAGGGTCCGGGGGTCCTTAAGCTGTCACAGAAAAACAGCAATTAAAGCAGGATATAGTGATGCAAAACCTGTGTAGCACATGCGCAGCACTCATGCAGCACCTGTGCAGAATACTCCCAGGACCCACCCAGCACACCAACAGCACCCATGCAGTGCCCGCATAGCACACCAACAGCACCCATGCAGCGCCCGCATAGCACACCAACAGCACCCATGCAGCGCCCGCATAGCACACCAACAGCACCCATGCAGCGCCCGCATTGCGCATCAACAGCACCCATGCAGCGCCCGCAT